CCCCCCCCTAATCAAAAATTGTAAATACGCCACTGGGTTAGGACTAGAAGAAGGTATAGAATAGGTATCGACGTGGAAAAACTCATTTTGATTACGAATCTCGTGATACTCCTATAACAGATCCTAAACAGAATTTCAAAATAAATTTTTTTCATCAAATATTAGACAATATGCTCCAATCAATAAATKACCGATTTATTCAACTTGAAGACCATAGTAAATTATTTTCATTTCTTTATAATATTTCTAATGTCAATAATTATGAACATTTAATGAAGTGCTGTAAAKATCTTCAGCTAGCACTTTCTTCAAATGACGGTTTAAATTCTGATATAAATTCTGTTGAACTTTGTGAAGAAATAAATGCATTACAAAAACATTTGAAAAATGAAAATGATCCAAAAGCAATTTTACAATTTATATGTGAAAACAAATTAATAGAATTATTTCTTAATGTATACGTAGCTCTAAGAATTTTATTAACATTACCAGTAACTGCAGCTTCAKCTTCTTTCAGCTTTTCAAAATTAAAAATTGTAAAAAACTATTTAAGATCACAAATTTCACAGGATCGTTTAGTTGGATTGGCGACAATTTCAATTGAAAATCAAATTGCGAATGATCTTGACATTGACGATTTAGTTAAAGATTCTGCGTCATCAAAAGCAAGAAAAATACATTTTTAAAAATTATAACTAAATATTGTATTTCATAATAACTATTGTAATACCTTACAAACAATCTATGTAATATTAATTTAGTAATTTCTTTTTTATTACCTATATAATAATTGACAAGTGTAAAAAGTTTTTTAATTTTTTTGCTCCTACATATGACATTTATCTATTTAAGTTATAATAAAATAAGAGGCGGCAATTTTGATCTTTGCCTACATATAAAAAATTGCTTGCGCCAGCCATGAGTGGAGCCATTTAGGTCCTTCGCTATTTTTATTATTTATTAATGATCTCCCTAGCCTTGATAGTTCTATAAAAATTCTATTATTTACAGATAATGTGAAGATTGTCTGTACAGTTTATTCTTTAAATGATGCATGCAATATGTTATAAAATATAGACATTATGTTCAAATGCTGACAATGTTTCTTTTTCCGAATTAATATCCTATCGATCGAATGATGAATATAACCCCTCTTTCATAAATATTCAAGTATATATATATATGTATATTTATGTATATAATAACTTATTAGTAATATAGTATATATATTTTCACTTGAAGTAACTGACTTGCTAGACACTCAAATACGCGCGGATTTCAAATTTATATTTTTTTACTTACGTAAAAGCACTGGACATACCACGAGGGATTGTATTATTCAATTGCTGATTTTTAGACACTGAAATTCAAATTTTAAATATTTCCACCTTTGAAACGAGATTGCCAAGCCTTATCATAAATTCTTATCACCTCCTTAGGTACATTTTTGTTTTTATCCAACAATTACAATGTGAGTAACTTTTATGTATAATTTCAACGCTTTTTTGTCTCCAGTTTCTAAAACCCACTTGAGTGGGTTTTTGATAGCAACTAGTTCATAAAATAAAACATTTTTAGCCACGTACTAGATGATTTATCAGTTTTTTCATGTRCTAATCATTTTTTAGTGTCATATATTGGTGACACTGAGTCTGAACAGTGCAACCAATATCTTACTATTACTACGACTCTAACTGTTTACAGCAAATGTCGTCAAATGTGGTGTCCAGTAGGAGTTCTCAAATGATAATTAGTCAACAGCCATTACATATTACCCATCATCGTCGTTCTCCTTAAGTTTCACGCCATTTATCCTTCGTCCGGCCATCCCCGTTGTCAGCCAACACTATATGTCAATATCATGGTAAGTTGGAATAATTTATCATAATTTTCAAATGCTTAAAACAATAGGTTAGGTTACCAAAGTTCTCGATAAGATTCCATGTTGTTCGTTGAAAATTAGGCGCCAGGTCGTTTTTCTAGTCCACTAATCCAAGAAGTTCAAACACTTTTAAAATATAATCTTATGGGAAAGAAAATCAATTTATTAATATTCTACAATGTAATTATTTTATAACCCAAAATATTATTATTGAATTTACAAGTTAACAACATGCAATACCTGTATAAAAACATTGGTAACCATTATGGACTATATAGAATTTTAAAAGCTCTTGCTAGCAGCCATTTGTTAATATTTAATAAATAGGTAACATAGTAAGTTGTGTACCCTGGAACCTACTACTTATATGATGCTGTGATGCTTTGTTCGTGTTTCCACCATATGTTTCATAACAATTATAAACCTATACTATGTTGTACGATATCCGGTCTATTGCCGACAGAAAAATAAAATAAAAGTTAACTACATGGAAGACTCAGTAGTATTATAGTAGTACATTTTGAAATAATAGCTAAGTATACCTACTTGGAGAAATTACTATTTTACATATTAAAAAGACTTATTTTCATTTCAATATACTGATCAATCTAATATTAATTTTAAAAACAAGTTTGGATTTCTCATATTGTTTTATTTAGATAATCACTTAATAACAATTGACCTAAAATGATTTCTAAATGTTTTATTTATTCTCAACAATTATAATTATGCTTTTATAGATAAATAAATGGATACAGTTGTTTGTAAGATTTAAATGAAACATATTAAGAAGTAGACGTTAAAATCCGTTTTCAATTCGAAAATTTATAGAATCTTTAACTTAAAGATTTAATTAAGCTTGAAAAAGAAATAAAATATATTTTATATAAGTTGTACTACGAGATTTTGTTGAGAATTGATCTTATCAGAATGAAAATAAAATAGTTTATCCTAAATCTATATACTCATAATTATATTTAATAAGGGGAACAATACATGCTAAAAACCGATGGATGGCAATTTACATAGATGATAGATTTATAGGTGCGTGTAACCTATTACTAAATAACTCAGTAATCTATCAATCTACAACCTTATTACTAGCTATAAATAGTTACAGTCAATGTCATTTCTACAATCTTGAAGAGTAACGATTAATTTTTAATTTTTTACTTGCTTATTATGTCTGATTTGCATATATTTTTTTTAGAAAAAACCAATTAGTGAAAATCCTGATCAACATGATACTTTAAATTCTGAAATGTATAGCAAAATTAAATCAAAATCTAGACTTATTTATTCATCAGTTCAAAACGCAAATTTTATTCGCCATAATCATAAAACCAATCTAAATTTGCCTCCACTAAATTGGTTAAAAAGTGAAGGAGAATCATATGGCATACGATACAAGACTGGTGATTTTCATGATTTTTCAAGGTAAATATATAGGATATACTAATATTCACAAATATCAATGTCTACATTCAATTAAATTAATATTGTTTATGTTTTCAAGTTTTCAAATGGCTAATATGTTTCCTGAATATATCGGGAAAGTGGACATTTTATCAAATGCAGAAAATATTAAAAACCTGTTTAAGATGGTATATGATAAAAAATCTGTAAGTAGATAATAACTTATTTTTTGATATTTCTATCCTAGTACTAAATATTATATAAAATGTGTATGATATAAAAATACATGTATATTTTGCTGTACTAAATTATTTTATTATTACATAAAACAATATTTTTTTAAGCACAGATAGACAGATCTACATTAGGTATATAAATATTATACTTATTTACTGTAATAAATAAAACATTTTTATTTTATTATTTCCAATTTTTTAAAGGTGAGCATAATGGTGCATAGAATTGGTAATACTTTACTTTTAGATGAATTTGATATCGAGAAACACTTGATCAATGTAACAAATGAAAAATGGAACTGGTTAAAAAAATACTTTTACATAAAAATTGTAAAATCTGATAATACTAAGGTAAGCATTGACATAATTAGAGTGAGTTGTTTTGCATAAGGTATTATTTTTCCTATGGCCATCATTATTTTATAGGCATTTTTAATTTATAAAAATTATAATAATTAAAAATATATAGGTGATATCATTTTAAATTTATATGTATAGGTAGTAATTATAGCCATGTATAGTAACTAAACAATAATCATGTGTTAAGTTGTGAGAAGTGATATAAATGAAAAGAGCACTTAATGGAGGGTATTTGATATAAAATAATTAAATTAAATAAAACAAATTATAGAGTTATTAGTTAATTATAGCGTCTAAAATTTTGTGCACTGCAAACTTACAAACTATGCATATTTATTAAATCAAAACTTAATTAAAAATGCATGTATTAAATGAAAATACATTAAAWAATTGAAGTGATTAATTAATTATTATTAATTTGCATAATTTATTGGCTTATTACATTGTATATTGTGTAATGTATTTTGAGTTCTTTTTTATCTAAATTATAAAGTCACTAACAAAAATCAATTCAATAAAATTAGTACATTTTTACAAGTTATGAGTTAAATATAAACTATATAAAATATTCAATTGTAATAAAATATCTTTTCTTACCTAAATTGAGGTTTATCAAAACAATTTATAGTTAATTAACTAAATATTGATTAATTATGATCAATTAATCGTAAACATGTAATTAAGTGATTTCTCAGAAATCAAAATTATGTATAATATTATTAATGAAATCTTAGAGTTTAGAACTTAGTAATTTTTAATTCTAATTTGCAAATTATATTTATTGAAATCATTTTTTTTTTTGTTTATAAACTATAGGTGAAATGTATTACTTATAAACAGAATGATTTAAACAGTATACAACATAAAGTTTTGGTATCAAAATTTCTGCACCATAGCATTGCATTAAATTCCAATAATGATCAAATAAAAAATAACGTTTTTCATAATGCAACTTCGCCAGTAAGTTTAACTTTAAAACATGACCATTATCTTAAAAATACCTATTTAACACAATAAAATGTGTAAACATTATGTACAGCCAGCTTTTCCTCTACCAAAAATTATACCAGAAGAAGTATTTTTACATTTTTCTCAAAAGCATCAATTATTATTTAACAGAAATGTTTTATGGTGTTTTGAAGACTTACAAATGTTGATAGGTACAGATTTACCAGTTTTTGAAAATGGCAATAATTCTTCTTTAAGTCCAAGACTGAGGTTTAATATTTATTTACTAATATATTTTAATTTTATTGAATAAGAGAATATCAATATTGTTTTGTTAATTTTAGAGATATGTCAAAACCTTTCAGTATGTTGACTGGACTTGATTATTGGCTAGATAATTTAATATGTGATATCCCACAAATTGAATTCTGTTATCATATAAATGGTATTGTCCAAAAGTATGAGTTAGTGAAAACAGAAGATTTACCATATTTGAACGATTCAAAATTTTCACCAAATATTATTAGTAAACATATGAAATATATATTATCAATTTTAAAATCAAATGCACGCTACAATGGATATACATACTGGTTATTTAAAGGTATTAATTATTTCATTATTGGAATTATTTGTGAAACTATATGGATCATTATGAAATGTATTCATTTATTTACAGGGAAAAATGACAATATGATGTATGTTAATGATTTGACAAAATTTTGTTCTGAATCATTAATTGATAATCCAAATCCATTTACAGTTCCAGTAACTAGTTTATTGTACCATATTGCTTGTAAATTAAAACATAACCCAGAAGATGGGAAATCATATGATCCAGTTACTATTATACATTCACTAAACAGTTGTCTAAATTTATTAAATAAAACTAAATACCCTCAAGTAATTATTATTAATGTATTATATTATTTAGTGATATTTTAATCAGAAGTATGCCTTCCTAACTTTCAGGCTGTTACATCTATCAATTACATGCTATCAGATATCTATATTGCGGCTTATAATAATCCATTAAGCAATGTAATTCAAGATTTAACTTGTTTAGATGAGAAATATGCTACTACTGGTATTGTTTTAAAACAATTTTATATAATTTTAAAAATGTATGACTGTGAATACTTTTTTTTTAAATTATTATTTTAGCACCTGAATGCTCTATACCAAAAGCTATAGAAAAATGTTTGTATAAAGCATTGTATTATATTGGATGCAGTTTAAGTTGCTTACAATATTTCAAAAACGATAGAGATATAACGGTAAGTAACTAGCAATTAATTTAGTAAGCAAATTTTAAATTTTAAATTTGATTTTAAAAAAAAGGTTGAATCTCGCTTCAGGCGAATACTTATCGAAAAAGCAGCTGATGTTTATTATAATTTAGGCGCAAAATGTTATACATCAAATAAGTAAGATGAGTGAAAAATTTTTAAATTGTTAAATGCTTAACATGTTTTTTTTTCCTTAAGTTATGGAATAGCATTAAAATGTTTTCGACGATCACTTGAATGTCAACTATGTGTTAACAATACTTCTATCTTCTACAGTAAATTGGCACATATACTAGAATATTGTGGTAATTGTTATCTGTCAATTTCAAGTTTTTATGATAAAATAGAACAGTATACAAGTGAGATTGAAACTGATGAATTCTATGATGTTGAATTAAGAAAAACATTAATAAKTAATTCTCAAGTTTTCACTATTAAAGGTTATTAAATAATATTTAATGTAATTAATTACTTCATTATATTATATTATATTTTTATGTTTCAGATTTAAATTTAATTTTGATGAGACTCAATGAATCTAAAGAAAGCATGTTAAGTGCAGCAGAACATTGTTACTTGCGAGCTTTGGCATTAGGAATAAATGTTGAGAAAAAAAGTACTCTTAATAGACGACTAGGCTGTGTTTACAGCGAATACTCTTCATTTTACATGAGTGAAATAGTTGGTAAGCTTAAGATGTAACTTAAATTCTATTAACAATTTGTTTCTTTTAATTTTTTTTTCAATTGTGTATATTGATTTTTTATGTAGCTTCCATAGAAAATAATATCCCTCTGACTCTTGTGAAGTTGAAATGGCTTAGAAAAAAGTCAGAATATTATTTTACATTGGGAAGTGATATATTTAAAAAAAATGGTGATAAGTCTAATTTTGTAATGTTGCATAAAAACTTAGCAAATTATTATACACAACTAGCAGAATATTCATCAAATTTTCCGATTCATATCAAAGAATTTATGAAAAAAGAAAATTTATATCTTGAGGTTGGTATTTAACTATGAAAAATGATTTAATTTTGGTTGATAATATGTATTGAATGCAATTTAAGGCTGTGAATATTAACAAGACAATTTTATCTGAGCTCGACGACCGTAGTTCTGATCCAAAACTTTGGGATATGGTTTACTATGATTTATCTTCAGTTCAGTACTATTTGTCAGTTCAAAACTATTCAKCTTTATGGCGAGTAAGTATACAGCTGTTTGGATAATATAAAGCTATTATAAGTATGATTAAGTAATATTTTTTTAGTCAAATTGTTTTTTTTTTTCACATTTAGGAAAATTCAAAAAACTATAAAGAATGTATCAATTCATTCGTAATAGCTTTGAAATATTGCGATTTGGAAAATGATACACCCAATAAATTTAGATATGAGTATCAAGCCGCACATATAAACTCACATCTGGGATCTTTGTATTCTGTTTGTTTTCAGTATGTAGATAATGCTATTTTAGAATGTATTATTAATAATATTGTTTGACTGGTCATTATTTAAAAATTTTAATTATATAGTAAATATTTATATTAAATGATATAAAAGAAATGTTTGATTACTAGGAATTCTCAAGAGGCCGATTCTGTTTTACCTCAGGCTAAAACTTACTATAGTAATTCATTTGAATTATTTCATAAAATAAATTGTCCATTGGAATCTCTTGAAGTTCTCGTAAAAATGATAATATTAGACATGCACTTTGTTAATAGTATTACAAGTATGTATAATAAATTTAATTATCTTGATGATTAGTTATAACTTAAATCAATATTATTAAATGACTCAGGCATATGGCATGTTAAACATATCAAGTCCATTATAAAAACATTGGGAAAATGTAATATAGTGTTTTTGAAATTTTTGGACAATAAGGACACATTTAGATATATACTTAATACATACCAAATTGAAGAGCTGRCCATTGAAGGCAAATTAAACTTTAAAATGAGAAAACTAAATCTTTTAGAAACTCTAAAAGAAAATGTGTGTAAGCTCTTGAAATATATGATTAAGATGGCCACGAATAAAACATTTAAGTAAGTTAGCCAGTTATAAATTATATATATATATATATTATACAATATTCTTTTAACACAAGTTAAGAATGTTAAGATACAATAATTGTAACTAATCTTTAGTATTTAAGATCAATTCATTTTAAGTGATTCAAAGACCAAATTTAATTTGATTTTATAGCTGGCTAACTGATAAAGAAGATGAACTGAAAACCATCTATCKTGCACTGTTAAAGAATACAGATGGTGACAATGATAATTCACAAATAATCATTGCTGTAAAACAATTATCTAAATTTAGTGATGATTAAGAAGGCAACGGATTAAGTATACAATTATATAAAATTACATATTTTAAATGAATAATTCTAATAAATCATTAAACATTTTTTTTTACATTAGACATATTATCTTTTTAATTAATTTAAATAGTGCTGATTCTGTACTATGAACAGGGCCGGATTTAAACATTAGGGGGCCCAGGGCAAAAATATTTTGGGGCCCTAAATGGTCCATAACAAAAATTGCATAGGTACCTACCTAAGCTTATACCATGCGTAAAATATATTTATAGACTATAGTTACAACTAAAAATAACTATCTATGTTAAATAAATTGAACAAGTCATACAGTAATATATTATTTATTTTATTAATAAAAAAATATAATCTAAGGCTAAAATGTATTTAATTAAACATATACATTAATAAACTGTATCAACAATTTGTATTTATATTTTTAATAAAGAAAATAGTCAATTAAAAGTTAAGATTATTATTACAGTCATCAACCTATTATGTTTACATAGAAAATAGAATATTATAAATTGCATACTTTTCTTGATTTGTTTCCTGCAAAGTCATCTATAATATCATCAGATGACATATTATCCAACACATCACTTTCAATGCTCATAACTGATAAAAAGTTCAAACGATCTTCATTAATTGTAGTTCGTAATTTATTTTTTATAATTTTCAATCTTGAAAATGTGCGTTCACTACTACAATTGGTGACCATAATTACTAAATACATGCGTAATGCGATTTCAACATTTGKAAAAGCTGATATTACGTCTTTTTCAATTCGTTTGTTTTAACTTCTTTTTGATTAGTAATATTCACAGRTATATATAATAAACTAGATTGCTAACTGGCCTATACAGCCTGTGTATTTAATTGAAGCCAACAATCCGCCATTTTAATCGAGGCCGGAACGCCATATCACTTATTATTTATATTGATAACAAATGTTTTTTTTTCGATATTAGAAAAATAATTCTGTAAATCACTATTAGTTATAATTA